AAAAAATCGCGTCTTTTGGAATATTTGATAAGCTCCATCAATGAAACAAAAGGTGGAAGAATCTTTCACTTAGGCTTAAATTAAGGTTCGGACTTGTGACTTCAATCCCTGAAAATACCATTCCTGCACCTTGACCCTAAGGTTCCCTGTAGTCATTTATTGAACAGCTAACACTGATTTTTACACCATTTTTGACGACAAAAAGGAAATGAGTATAGGTGACCATTAGGAAAAAATTCAGGAATAGTACTTTGAGGGATGGTAGTCTGTAGTTCTAGCTTTAACTTAAGCCTACGTGGAAGGTTCTATCACCCTTTGCTTAATAGCGGTAGGAACTCAAACTTCCCAAAATCAGTTATTCCTGTTTAACAAATGACTATAAGTGACCATCAAGCAAAGGTGCGTGAATTAGTATTGTTAAACAGACAATACCCCATGTTTGCGCCGCCTTCAAACACCTTTCGAACTTTAAAACAATGACTCGATTCTATTCTTCGCGTATCTATAAGACGGGTATCGAATTTCAAGCAAATCGGGCCATAAATAAGATTTTTTGGAATCGATCGGTATCTGGTCCACCTTTCAGAAAAAATATCCTATATGTTAACCCAGCTAATAAGCTACCTACGTGCCAAATTTCAAGAAAATCGGATCATAAATAAGTTATTTTCAAATAGATCGGTCCCTGGCCCACTTAACGGAAAAAATGCTAATCGTCGGCCGCTGTGGTGTAGTGGTAAGCAGTGCGCGCTTCCACTCCGCAACGCCTGGGTTCAAAGCCTGGTATAGAAAAAAGGTTTTTTCTTAACAGCGGTCGTCCGTCGGCAGGCAATGGCAAACCTCCGAGTGTATTTCTGCCATGAAAAACAGCATCTCATAAAAATACAGTCGCCGTTCGGAGTTGGCGTAAAACTGTAGGTCCCTCCGCTTTGTGTGACAACATCAAGGCGCACGCCGCAAATCAGAGGAGAAGCTCGGCCAAACACTAACATATGTGTAAGCGCCAATCTATTATTATTATTATTATATGCTAATCTAGGCAAAAGGCTATCAACTGGTTCGTTGCATTTTTTTTAGCGTAGCTCGACCCCTGCGCCACCTATCGGAAAAATTAAAATTTTGAGCACTCCTTGTTCTAAACATCTTTCCAAAAAAAGCAGGTCCCATTCGAGTCGGTTATGAAACATAGGAAAAAATTAGTCCCAATTGATTCAAGCTCCCAACGAATTTCACAATTATCCGAAATTTTCCAAGCTTTCGTCGAAAAAAAATCAAATTTTTCGCGTTCTTCCGCAGTTTTCCGAGTTTTCAACTTAGAATTTTCTCTTTTTCCATTCGAATGCCATTCCGAAGGAATTGCACACAAAATTCCATATAAAAAAATCAATATTCCGATTTTTCCAATTTTCCGAATTTTCGTTATTGCAGAGGACCATCGATATGCGAATCCATATATTTCGATAATGAAATAAATTCGGGCATAAATACGATTTTTAGTTACATATACATATGTAACTAAATTTCAGCGCCACCTGGCAGCAAATTTTTTCCGAAAGGATTCTTTTTCCTGTTATCAATATATATTTTGAATCTGAGGATAATCGGACCATAAACACGATTTTTAGTAATAACGCGACTCCAACGCCACCTGGCGGCTCTTTTTTTGCAATGGTATTGTTTTTCCTATTGTCAATACACATCTCGAATATGAGACGAATCGGACCATAAACACGATTTTCTGTAATAACTCGACTCTAACGCCACCTGGCGGTTCTTTTTTGCAATGGTATTTTTTCTCCTATTGTCAATACATAACTCAAATATGAGGCGAATCGGAAAATAAATACGTGTTTTACTATTAACTCGACTACAGCGCCACCTAGCGGTTGTTTTAATATTTATTCTTCTATTCGGAAGGTAGACAAATTCAAAAAACAAATATCATAAAAATTGGTCCAGCCGTTCTTGAGTTATAAATGGTGTAACTAACACGACTTTGTTTTATATATAAATACTAGCAGATCCGGCGAACTTCCTCACGCACAAAATTGATTTTTTGTATTAAAACATTTTGGTCCGAAATTTTCACCAACAGTTCACGTTCCTGATTTTCAGTGAAGCATTTATCTTCTAATATTACGGTTTGGTGTTTGTCAGAAAGCATATTTCCATTGCTATCTTAAATAACATAGAAGAAGTGTATATGCACGCCCGCTTATAAAATTGCCCCAATTTTCTTTAAAATTATGAGATTGATTTCATATATCTCCATACAATGTGCGAGTGCTCTAACATGTACACTTCCAGAGATATTCAGTGTGAAAAACTCGGTTTGTATGGGAGGTGCCCCGCCCCTTTTTCCAATAGCCCCAATTTTTCTTCATGACTGCGAATTATTTTATATGTGTTGTACATACCAAGTTCCAGTACTCTACCATGAACACTTGCAGAGATATAAAGTGTGAAAATTTTGGTTTGTATGGAAGGTGCCACGCCCCCTTTTCAAATAACGGCACTTTTTCTCCATGAGTATGCGATTGTTTTCATATATCTCCATAATATGTTCGAGTACTCTACCGTGAACACTTCCAGAGATATGAAGTATGAAAAATTCGGTTTGTGTGGGAGGTGCCACGCCCCCTTTTCCAAAAGCCATATTTTGAAAAATTCGGTTTGTATGGGAGGTGCCACGCTGCCTTTTCCTATAATGACAATTTTTCTCCATGTGTATGCGATTGTTTTCATATATCTCTATACCATGTTCGATTACTCTGCCATGAACACTTCCAGAGATATGGAGAATGAAAAATTCGGTTTGTGTGGGAGATGCCACGCCCCCTTTTCCTAAAGCCATATTTTTTCTCCATGAGTATGCGTTTTTTTTATATCTCCATACCAAGCTCCAGTACTCTACCATGAACACTTTCAGAGATATGCATGGGTTAGCCAAGGATTATAGACATGAGCCTCTTAACAGTAATAAGGGATTTGACTTTGTGAATTTTGAATTGTGTCGTTATTGCAGAGGACCATCGATTTGTAAATTCATATATTTAAATAATGAAATAAATTCGAGCATAAATACGATTTTAGTTACATATATGTACATATGTAACTCAATATCAGCACCACCTGGCGGCTATTTTTTTCGAAATTCAATTCATTTTCCTGTTATCAATACATATTTTGAATCAGGACATTCGGACCATAAACACGATTTTTAGTCATAACTCGACTCCAACGCCACCTGGCGGCTCTTTTTTTCTATGGTATTGTTTTTCCTATTGTCAATACATATATCTCAAATATGAGGCGAATCGGACCATAAATACGGGTTTTATAATAACTCGACTCCAGCGCCACCTAGCGCTTATTTTTATAGTTATTCTGCTATTCGGAAGGTAGACAAATTCAAAAAGCAAATATCATAAAAATCGGTCCAGCCGTTCTTGAGTTATAAGTGGTGTAACTAACACGACTTTGTTTTATATATATTATTATGTCTTGTATTATAAAATATTAATAATACGGAAACACGTATTAATTTCGATTTATTTTATAAAATGTTTCTTCTTTTGCAGGGAGAATCTAACGAAGCGCGAATAGCAGTGGCGAATCAACGTGCTCATCAGTTACTCAAATAATTACTTTCCTCATTATTATTTTTGTAAATACATATCATAAGTATCATATGTGTGCAGAATTAAAGTCGATTTAAAATTAAAAGGATTATATAGCAGAGGACTGTTTTTAAAGAGCATCATAAGTCCTTACCAAATGTAAATGTCTCAAATATGGTAAGAGATCTTTAACCATTACACGCTTCAACTAATTGTTTGTTATTTAGAAATATAGATAGTATCTTGTGTATTATTTAACCCTAATATTTTGGAATAAATTTAATTGTTAAAGTTTATTCTCATATATTTAATTTTATGTGTCCCGCCACAAATATCACCGCACACAGTGGTCTAGGTTTTCTTTTTAATACCCCCATTTAACTGTACATATTACAGTTTAACGCAACAGAATTGAAAAGAGCTAAAACAATTGGAATGCCATATAGCACATGTTGTGGGCCTGGTCGAGTAAAGAAAAGCTGATTTTTTCTACACTTCAGCAGCGATCGAACACGCATCATCGATGTGCAAAGTCAGAAGCGCTAGCCACTGAGCTATGCACACCCCGTAAGCTCTTGTTGCCAATTCATTCCCTGATGAGCAGATATGGTGATCTCCAAAACAGCTGCTATAACTTCTACCGCTTAGACTTTGTTGCTTTTTCAATTTTTCCTAATAAGAAAAATCGTGGTACAAAGCTCAACAAAAATATTAAAATAATTAATATCTTTATAGCCACAATAAAATTGAAAAAAACTGCATACTTGAAATTCCAAATATACCCCAAAAATCTTAGCCAATGCACTATGGTTCAAAATTCAGTTTTTGAAGTATAATAGTAGTTGGACTTGAGCTAGCGATCTGAAATTTTTCAGGGGATATTTCTAGATAAAAAATGGATTAGCTTTGTACACATTCCGATATAACTTTTATTCTGCCCGATTCTGAATACAAATTCCTTAGTAAATTTTCACTTCTCCCTATCCTCTTATTCTAAACAAAAATTCCTTAGGAAATTGTTCTCTTCTCCCTTTCCTCTTATTCTGAACAATGTTCGAAAAAGGGGGAACAATTTAGAGAGGAAAGTAGGTATCACGAATGCAAGTAAAAGGGAGATTTTGCTGCCATTTTTAAAGGATTTTTCACCAACTATTTTGAAAGGAATGCTGAGGAAAAATGTAAGTTTATTAACTTTTTAATGGAAAAATACTAATTAATAATAAAAAAACAAAGAAAAAGGACTACAATCATTCTTATTTTAGGTCGAAAAGAAAAATAAGCAAAGCTGAGGAAGAACTCAATTCAGCGGGGCCACCATCAAAATGTATTGCCGAATAGAAGAAGGTACATCAATAAATAAATTTTACCTACATCAATTTAATAAAATTGCTTCAATCCAGCTGTAGGATGATCAAAAGAAGAACGTGCGGCACAAATCAGCCAGTAACTTTAGACGTAATTAGTAAGGGAAATGGAGGAGGTCCTAACATCGAATACAAGTTTTCTGCAACAGAAAGGGCAATATTCAAGTTGATAGGGATAAAGGAATCCGTGGAAGGTTTGGCGAAGACATTTGGGCTGACATCTTGGATTAATGTTGAACGAGTGGAAGAAAACCTTGATTTCTTGATGAATGGGAGTGGTGTAGTGAATGAAATTGTATTGGAGACTGAGTGTGTCGGGATGAATGAGGATCCAACGGATTGTGTGTTTCTGGTTGACGGAGAGAAGCCTACTTACCAGCCATATTCAAAAGCTGTTAAGTTTACTTTCTCAAAAAAAGTGTTGACAAAACATTCGCCTCCTGACATTCTCGTGGAAGAGGTTGCAATTCAGTGCGAGCTATGCGACACCCTTAAGGGTATAGTTTCTGAATACAAAGAACAGCAAGAAAACGTAAAAAAAAATATAGAGCGATCGACAGTATGCAGGCGGTCCAGAAAAAGCATTTTAAAGAAATGGAAAAATTAAAGAGCGAAGAAGATCTTATAGTTTTTAAACAAGTGGCAATCCTAAGGCTAAGTCTTTTCATTTGACAGTGACGGTACAGAACTGACGCCTAAGCTTATTAGAATGAATATAGTAATTTTCTTAGCAGGTGGCAACCCTATTAAAATTCTAAATTAAAAAGGTCACTCTCCTGTCGATACAGAATATATAATTCAAATTAGCGAGGGAGAGAAGAGGAAAGAAATACGCGAAGAAACTAAACAAAAACATCCAAGTAAGTGTATTTTATTTACATTTTGTGTTTCAAATATTTTTGACTGAACACTTAAGAACACTTATAGTGGGTGTATGTACATCCTTACTTCCTTACCTAATAATATTATAAATCCGAAAGTGAGTTTGTTTGTTTGCTAAGCTTTCACGCTTTAACTATTCAACCGATCATCATAAAATTGTGTACACTGCTGTTATTTAGCCCACCTTAAAATATAGGATACATTTAATCTCGATTGGGCAATAGGGCGTGGCACCTCCCATACAAACGGAATTTTTCATAGTGCATTTCTCAGGAAATATTTTTGGTTGATTACTGGAACTTGGTATGGGGTAAATATAAAATCATTCTCTACTCATGGATGAGGGCTGCCGCCTTTTAAAAAAATCTAATTCAACTTCAATTAAGGGAGTTATTTATTTGAAAATTATATTTAAAAAATGAGTGTCGAGAGGCTTAAAAAAGCTGAAGTTTAATATATTTTGAAAAGGCTTGCCATCTGTTTGAAAACCAAAATTTAAATTAATCATACGCAAGCCATCTGAAGAATTAAAATATGGTTGTCAAACAAAATATTGTTAAGAAACCTTTAGTTTTAAAGTTTTGAATAATATTGAAGTCTTTCACAAGGGTTGCCACCTTTTTAAGAATCAACTTAATTAGTTTAAATGAAATATTATAATACTACAGACCCAGCGAACTTTGTCCCGCACAAAATAATTTTTTTTTTTAACTTTTTGGTCCACCATTTTCACCAACAAATCACGTTTACGATTTCCATTGGCACGCTCATCGGCTAAGATTATGGTTTGTTGGTCGCCTTAAATAACCCAACGAAAGCGCCATATCCGTGATGAAGTTCTCGAAATTCTCTAATTGTGTATTACTTCATAGAATGGTTAATCTCACAACGAAATAAATTTGAATAACATTTCCTCTTCACTCCCTGGCGGCAACAATGATCCGGTTTTATAGTAAATCTGTCCAAGAAACTTTATCGTATAGTTGGTGGCAATTTCAAAACGGATGCGTATAATTGTTCTACAGAAATCCAATATACATTAGGGCTGTGCGATTATTCGATTACTCGAGCAAGTTGGTTAATCAATTATTCGGTTAATCAATTACTCGAGTAATCAAGATTTTGATTACTCAAAACAATGATTAATCGAGTTACTTGAAATATGATTACTCAAAAAAAATAATTTTGCTCGTTAAAAGAGTTTGCTTTGGAAAATGCTTATTTTCTTTTTTACATTCTGTATATGAAACAAATTTTTCATTTTAATTTTTGAAAACAGAAACGTTGTTTTCAAAGTATCAAGGAACTTTAACTACTTTATACATATGTAAAGAGTTGAAATGTTGATTACTCATTTTACTCGAAATGTTGATTAATCATAAAGCAAATTACTCAGATAATATTTTTTTTGGTTAATCAAAAATTCTGATTACTCGAGTAACTGAACTTTTGAGTAATCATAATTTCCAATTAATCGAATAATTGAGTTATTTGCTTTATGATTAATTAAAATTTTGAGTAATCTATTAATCGCACAGCCCTAATATACATAGACTTATTTCAGACGAAAGACCTTAAAAGTAAGTTTCACGAAAGCAATTTAAGTCAAAATAAATTGTTTTTTACTTGAATTTATTACAGTAAAGGCGCGCGATGGTTTTGGCAGTTGACTTATCGGTGGTGATTTGAGATTTAACCCTGCACAACTCAACCCTGGGGCCTCCGAATGAAGCTTTAAGGCATAACAATACTGGCAAAAATCACATACATTGGGCCAATCGTAACACATAAAAATTCGATATACTCAATGGTGCAACAGGTTTATTTATTCTGACATCCTTTCTGGCACCTTTTCTAACTTGGCGATTACTCGTAATCACTCCAGTGCCACGTGGCAGCTCCTTTTTGCAATAGTATTGCCTTCACCGTTACCAACACATATTGTGACGAATACTGCGGCAACGCGAAGCGAACAACGAGGAACAGGCAGAATGTTCGAGGAATGAAGTAGAATGTTCCACAATCAGAAACGTCAAGTGGATGAACACTGCGAACAGCAAGAGAAAGAGAATGAGCGATGAACTTCAGAACATTCTAGAGTTGCCATGAGTGCGAGCGCAGGTATATAAAGGCGCCACCAGACACCGGAGTGAGTTAGTTATCTGCAGCAGTGAGTTAGTAGTCGACAAGCGACAAGTAAAGTGAGTTGCGAATAAGCAAGCTATAAGTTCAGTTGTGTAAACAAGTATTGTAAAGTGTTTGCTGTACAATAAAGTTAATTGTACTGCAGTAAGATATTTGGGAAATCCCTCAAGGTATTCGATATTTTGAATATTGGCCAAAGTGGATCATCAATAAGATTTTTAGTAATAACTTAACTCCAGTGCCAACGGGCGGGTGAATTTGTGAATCTACACCATCCAGAGAGTTACTCAAAAATACACAAAAAGCTTAGTTAAAAATCCGTCCGAGCATGAGTATAAGATTGATTTCAAATATCTCCACACCAAGTTCCAGTACTCTACCATGAACATTTCCAGAGATAGTCGGAATGAAAAATTCGGTTTTTATGGGAGGTTCCACGCCCCCTCTATATATCAAACATTTTTTTAGCCTATAATAATCCTTGGGACGGCTGAATCAGGTGTCGGAAATTAAAAAAAAAATCGGTTCGGCCGTTCTCGAGGTTTGCGAACACAAAAACACGGCTTTCAGAATATATATTGGTATAGATTGGTATGAATCGAAATGGTTTTAAGCATGTGTCACAATATGAGTGTTAGACGAAAGAGGTTTAAAAAGGTTTCCAACTGTTTAAAAGGTTAAACTACTACTATTCAATAATTTAAATGAATTATTACAATATCAATCAAAATGATATTAAAAGGGCTTAATTTCAAAACTACATGTAAAGGGTTTCCATCTGTTTAAAATCTCAATTGAGTTGAAAAAGTATGAAAAGTGAGAAGTTTAAGAAAGTTTTAGTTTGAAGATGGTTAACCAAATTTTAGACCTCCTGTTTTTGAATTGAGTTTTCTTGAAATAAATTT